TGATGATTTTAAGGGTGGCCACCCATTTATGTTCTGGAGAGGTAGGGGTCATCAATTTTGTACATGACATGCAGGGCGATAACTAACTTTGTACATAAATGGGGTCGCATTCACATTGTACATGCTTTTCCATAAATATCACCATCGCCCCCTAGTCATAATTTATGAACGGTCCCTAACTAGTATTTACGGTGCTTGAATCCCCTGGGTTGAATAACAATCGTTTCCTATACACGGCAAGACGGGCGCCATTATGGTTGCGATCCATCCATAGCAACTGTATAGAACTTGCCGAGTATAGAAAATCAATTCAACCATCAGCAAATATTTCTTATTTCTATTCTTGTGATAAATGAATGCGCCATATAGCTTAGATAGACGTCTCTATAAATGTTTAATGCTTCCAACTGTATATTTCTCTTGCAAGCTGTGGCTTGACTTTCCCGACGTGAGTGAGTGAGTGAGTGCTTTGTGTTTAAGGCCGCTTTCAAAAGCATTCCACTAACACCATGGCCTGTCAGCTAAAAGTGGGGAGAAAGCCCGAAGTAATGCATTTATCGGACGTGTACCAGTCTGGTGAACCCTTCAGAACGAATAAAGCGCTGATAACAGCCCCGCCCCCTACCCCCCACAAAAATAATCAAAAGTAAAGAAAAAAGAATAATAATAATTAAATAACAAAATCATCGGATTCGAACCTACTATCATAGTTCTGGCGTGCCCAATAGCAGTGGACGCTACTATGCGAAGCAAATTGAGGCGCCTTTTACGACAGGGCCAGACTGTGGATATGTACTTGAAATGAATTGTTATATGCAGTTATATGTCACCAAAGTTCATAAATTTTCAAACTTTCATAGAAGTTGATTTATTCAAAAGAGTGAGAGAAGTGGACTTGAGGTCACCGAAACAGTATTTCAATTATTCTTTTACATTGAGGGTTAATGTTGGAAGAAAGAGTCGTAGATCGTGTTACGGCGGGTGACACAAAAAATGGGCTCACATATTGTACCCATGTGGGGAATTGAAAGCGGGTGTTTGGCGTGACGAGCGCACGCTTTAACCGCTAGGTTTCTCCACCGCCGTAATTTTAATTTTGATGGAAAGAAACAGCTAGTTTTAAATTGAAAAGGGGCATAAGTGAGGTTGGAGATTCAGAAGCTGAGGAAATTAAGACTTGCTTCAGTTAGGACTTGAGCATTTCAGAAAGGACTGGGTGAAAGGGAAAATAAAGTGGTTCAGGGACTGTGATACAGACTAAGGATCGAGTGGGTTACGCCGCTTTTAGCAATATTTACGCAATATCACGGTTGGCCGTAAAAATGGTCTTCACAAGCTGTATCAATGTGGGAAATTGAACCAGGCAGTACGGCAGTGAAGAGCAAACACTTTAACCACTTAACTACTAGACACGGCGAATGAATGAATACGGTTATACGCCGCCTTCAGCATTATTCCCTCAACTACACGGACAGGGCACCATTAATGGGCTTTACGCATTCTACCCATGTGAAGAGTCGAACCGAGAGGCAAGCTATCACTTTAACCACGAGATTATAGACTGTTGAATGTTCAAGAAATTCTCACTGAGTAATATCAGACGTTTATTACTCGCCCGTGGAAGATACTGCAGTGTAATATTTTTACGGCAATATTACACTAGTTTAATGCCGCTAGACGTATGACGTCATAATGGTTTACAGTTATGACATAACAATGCTATACCTCTGTCACAATGGTACTAGTCCTTGCTTGACTCGCGGAAAGCTGAAAGTCATCACACTGTAGGCATTTTTAATCAATTTATGTTGGAGAGTAATATACAGGGCCTAGATTTTCGAAGCTCTGTTAGCGCTAAGATAGTCGTAAATTAATGTTAATGTATGGCACTTACGACTATCTTAGCGCTAAGAGAGCTTCGAAAATCTAGGCCCAGAAAACTAAATTCACTTCCGTGAAATACCATTTTTATTAAACTCGTGAAAGATGTAGTATCAAACGAGCGAAAGCGAGGATACCAAATCATTAACTCGTTCAATAAAAATGGTATTACACGGAAGGTCGTTTAGTATCTTCTACATCTTTGAATAATGGATATTACCTACGAGGGCGAACATATCGGGGTTCATATTTTTCATACGATGCCCTAGGGCAAAATATCACTTTGTCATGGTGACGTGACGTCATGAACAATGCTTATGACGTCACGTTTCTTCTGCGACGTTGCTTTCAACATTCGGCGACGGCGGGTAGACAGCCTATTTTTGAAAGTAGATTTGGGTTATTTTCCTCAATTTGACGACTTCGGTAATAAACAGAATATTATATCCGTGCCCATATCAAACTATGTTTACGACACTCGTGCCTAAATATCGGTATATCCCTCGCTCTCGCTCGGGAAATACCAACATTTAGGTACTCGTGTCGTAAATAGAGAATACTACACGAGGTCTCATTACATACGAATTATATGAAACTCGTGACCTTCCTATGTTATCTGACCTCGCTTTCGCTCGGTCAGATACCATAGGAAGGACACTCGTGTAATGTAATGAGACCGAGTGTGGTATTTTATTTATTACCCACGTCTTACATGCATTAAATTAACAAAATAGCGTATTTTTTATATGTTTTTGGTTTCAAACCGAAACCGGTTTCATAAAGAGGTTGCGGAAGAGTTTTGTACTGTAGTACATTATTTGCATGACGTCACACTGTAATGACGTCACTGCCTTGGTAACCGACGTCACGATGCATGTCAGTTGTCATCGCCTCGTACAGCCTCCTACAGTAAATTTATCCGTAGCACCTCGTTTCTTGGTTTCCAGCTGCTTCATTCGGCTAACATCACTGGTGGAAACATTGCGTGTATGTTTTTCGACGGATATAATGTCTCAGTTCGACTCACAATTAAACAGCGACACGGCAAAGTTCGCAATGTTTACATTCCCACAATGCATTTAAGTTGTAGAATGAATGAATTCACGTGTTTGTTTTGAATGAAAAAATAGTTACGTCAGAATGTGAACTAATTGAGAGGTCATGGGTTATCCAATCAAATCGTTAGAATCTCAGGTCAAGTCGTTACGACACAGGTCAACGCGATACGACACTCGTGTGACGTACGAGATTAGTATGCAACTACCAATACGTTGACCTCGTGGGTAGCCCACTGAGATACCACGCCGCAGTGAAGCATGAATACCCCACTCAGACACATTATACTGACTCCGAGCCGACCAGTCCTTGTTGTACCAATTAATGCCGAGCGCCAGGCAGGGACCAACAAGTACCATATTTTAACGTCTTTTGGTATGACGCGGTCTGGGATCGAACCCGCGACCTTCCGCTCTCCGGGCAGACGCTCTAACCACTACACCACGGAGGCGGTCGCTAGTACAAGTAGCCGCACATACACACGCATGCACGTCGCATGAGCGAAATATTCTCAAGCACGACGTAAAACCCAGTTTCACCTCACCTCACCTCACACTCACCCGCTCTGACTGGGTTCGGTATCCCGTGTGCTTCGTTTCGAGGGAAGTAAACCCAAGTACAAAATATTGCACTTTTGATTTGCGATTGTACGCTTATAATTTTGTTTATATGTTTTTTCATAATCAGCAATGTATATTATATGTCATGAATAAGTGATAATTGTGTTTTAATTATGTTTGAGTTTTTGGTTGCATGTGACCTTTAAGAAATAAAGTTCGCTCTACCCCCATGTATGGTATAATAAATTACAGTTTTGCCCCGAACTTCTATATTTAAAGCACGCGGACGTTAATGCTTCCACCAGTGATGTTAGCCGACACAAGCAACGGCAAACCAAGAAACGGACTACTGCGGAGTTAGTTGTACTGTAGGATGCTGTACTAGGCAATGACAACTGACATGATCGTGACGTCGGTCACCGGGGGCGGTGGGGTAGCCTAGTGGTTAAAGCGTTGGCTCGTCACGCCGAAGACCCGGGTTCGAATCCCCACACGGGTACAATGTGTGAAGCCTATTTCTGGTGTCCCCCGCCGTGATGTTGCTGGAATATTGCTAAAAGCGGCGTAAAACCAAACTCAGTCAGTCAGTCAGTGACGTCGGTCACCAAGGGTACGTTTAATTACGAGGGGGCAGACAAGAATGGCATAGTGACGTCAATACAGTGTGACGTAATACAAACAGTGTACTTTATCGCGTGACAAAGTACTATCAGCGTCTTTGATCTTTTATCGAAGCATCTTAGAATTACTTTTCACAAACTGAGAAAAGTGATGTTAGATGATATCCAGATTCCATTCTTGTGTATTTTGACATCAAATATACCAAGACTCGTGAATAAACGTTCTAAACTCGACGGTAAGCATTAGACGTTTGAATATTTATCGACTCGGAATGACATATTGGATATCAAAAGCCCATTTCTGGTGTCCCCCACCGTGGTATTGCTGGATTATTGCTTAAAGCGGCCTAAAACTTGCTCTGAATATCAGTAATCCATTTAGACTGATAGCATGTCTTCGTCTCCCACTGATACGGAAACCGTTGGTACTCAGGCTATCGACCATTAATTTGGCCGACAGAATTATGTTTACAAGTTTCTCACAATCGTACCCATAATTCACCTCTAACACTAATTACTCGTAACGGTAGTATGGCAATGTTTAGTTCCACGCAAAACAAACCGACGTGTTTGTATCTCAAGTTCGAAATCCAAAAAAATAAATAAAATCAGGTTTTTTTCAAATATCTCTCAGTGTAATATTAGTGTTTATTTCAATCAGTAGGGACACTTTTATATAAGTAAAAATCAATTTCAGATAACAGAGATCGATAATTGAAACTGTTTTTGTGTTCTCCGCAAAAGAAATCAGTTTCAAACCTTAATAACCGATTATTGACCAGCTTTAATGACAGATCTCTCAGAATTATATATTCGATGTAAACCTTGGCCCATTAAAAATACAATACCTACTTTTATATTCAATGAGAGGCCTTTCAGTATCAGCGACGAGAAGCGCACAGCGCCCACACAATTAGGTCACCTCTTGGTTCAGTCAATTTCAAGGCCAATGTCAATGTTACGCGGAGAGGAGAGCTTGAAATGTAACACACGTTCCTGTCTGGTACGTGTTGTCCGCTCGGAACAAGCTCAAATCGTTGTCAGCTACGGATTCAAAATGTCTATGTTACCTGACGATCGTGTGGATTGAGATGTTTGCAAGAGATATCGGAGTGACCGTGACTGCCGGCGATTTCAACAGGTGGTTGGTGCCCCATCAGAGAGCGAATCTGTCTAAACCAGCTTGTCGACATCCGTTTTCGCGTCTACAGGCAGAGGTATTGAAGATTGAAGTTTTGACTGGAGTCAGATGAATGACTGTCAATTTTAATTATCAAGACAACGCAAGACGTCGCCACAGTCATGCAGATTGATACACAAGCCGGTGACTTACCTGTCGAGGTCAAAGGTCAGAGCATGGAAACTCGCTCATTCGAAAACCCTGACCGTACAAATGAAAATCAAGCACCGTGTACTGGTACACAAAGAAGGTAAGAAAACTCAGGGTATATAAATCAGTTTCCTTTCGCAGACACAGCCAAAGATGACAATATGCCTTCTACAAATTAAACTATGCATGCACATAAACACACACACATGCAGACAGATGCACACACATTGTTGTCGCTATAAGCTCCACAATCTTGGACAAACTGTTAAATCCCATGTCCCCTAATTCATGACATGTGTCCTAGCATATATTTCCTTCAAAATATTTTGATCAAAGATCAAATCATATTTGAGTATAGTTAAACTTACTGAATTTATTAATCTTTTAATGTCAAAGTGCTTGAAAATTACAGGCATCATGTTACAGATGAGTCCAATTGATATCAGTTACACAGTCTAGCACATAGCTATTAATAACATTGAATGTAGAAATAATTCATACGTGGCACTTCTGACATATCCGATAATCTTAGATGAGTACTTCATGTTGAGTGTCAGGTGAGAAGTGACTGGTTGTAATCAATTCTGCAATGTCTACATCTTGAACAAACTATGAATATTGACTGAAAAATGGAACATTTTAATATGTTTGACATCTCTCAGTGTGTGAGTGTGTGATGAATGTTATGTGTGGGTGTGTATGTTGAAATATACCGTATTCACCATAATAAACAATTTGGTTCTTCTGAAAACTACCAAATTGCAAATGTGTATTCAAAACCATACACAAGTTAAATTTGTTGTCAGATATTTAGTAGTAGTTTCAATTTCGATGAAAATGCAAATTTCAAACGGTTCCTTATTCCATGTTTAATCAATAGGACCAGCTGAAGAATCTTCACAATGCTCAACACATGCAAATGATGCTATTCTCCAATAAAAACCCCAACACAATTCACTTAAAGATGATTAAAGTACAACATCATTTAATATATATATTTCGCTAAATATAACATACAATAATTCATTATATACATAATCAATTATTCATAAGTAACTATAACAACCATCTCATTGTGTTTCAGATTTTTTTATATTGGTTTATATATATATATATATATATATATATATATATATACACACAAAAATTGAAGCTCACAATTCTTCAGTTCTATTCCCAATTATATGACTACCCGGTACATTCTATTTCATGAAACAGATAACTTTTGAACCAATATAAAAAAACTCTGAAACACAATGAGATGAGATGGTTGTTATAGTTACTTATGAATAATTGATAATGTATCTCATGAATTATTGTATATTATATTTAGCAAAATACAGTGCATAATTAATGCAGTGCTTAGTTAATAATGTCCAAAATATATTAGCATTATAAAAGGAATTAAAAATGCGTAAAATCAGGTACTTTATATATGTTTATGATTATAATGTTTATAGATTTATCATTATAATGTGTATTATTATGTAGGTCTATTAGCTTGACTCTTCTTGTCAGATTCCCTGAAATCCTGATTATTGGTTTGGGATCTGGGATCCTTGGTTTCACTATTGTGGTTGGAGTTTAAGACTTGAGGCTGACACATTGTAATACAGGTGAAGTATGTATAAACATGTGTATAATTACTGTAAAACACAAGTCAGTTACTTTAAATCATGTTATGCATCAAGACGTTTGGCTGATTTGTCGTTCATGACTGACCAATTTCCATCCTCTGTATCTTCTAGGCTAGGGGCAGGGGTAGCCTAGTGGTTAATGCGTTCGCTCTTCTTGCCGAAAAACACTCAGGTTCGATTCCCCACATGGGTACAATGAGTGAAGCCCATTTCCGGTGTTCCCCACATTAATATTGTTCGAATACCGACAAAAGTGGCGTAAAACGAAACTCACTCACTGTTCTGGGCTAGCATTTCATCAAATCTTCACTAACCAAGTATCCTTTCCCAAGATTCTAGTGATAGCAAATTGCCTGGTCTTGATTTTTAGTAGCCAACTGATTGGCTACTCTACTCAGTCCAATGGACCAATCAGAAAGAGAGCTACAAACAATTGTCAGTGTTGGCGTGTGATATTAACAAAATGACAACCAGTCTCCGTGATTACGATAGAGTTTGTGGGAAATTCAGCATTTTAAAAACTCACAAAAGAAATTCTGCTAGATTGAAAGGATGTCTTTGAGTCCATTAAGATCCAGACCCAATTCCTATTTCATTATCTTGATGTTTGGAGGCCAGTAAAATGTTCTTGAAAATGAAGGAGATTGATAATAAAACCTGGGTTTAGTTGAGATTTACCAAAAAGCAACATACTGAACCTCTAAACGGCCACATATAAGTATGCCATGGTCTTGCATATAACTTGGCCTTATTGATGGTTTGTCAGCCCCATATTAATGAGGGGAGGTTTGGTAGCCTTGTGGTTAAAGTGTTTGCTCTACATGACAAAGACCCAGGTTTGATTCTCCACACTGATACAATGTGAAGCTTTCCTCTCAACCATGATACCACTGATACAGTGTCTCGGCTCGATATAAGATACTTGATTTAACTTACACCAGGTGCATGTTGACATGGAAACCAATTAATTTATCAACTTAAAACTAAGGCTGCCCAGCATCACATAAATGAATGATATAGTACTGTCAAACAGAACTGGAACATGAGTTCATAATTATAAAGTACCCACAGTACGATCTCATCAAGCCCTGGAATGTATGGCAGATTACACATAACCCAGAGAGGATACGTAAGTCCCAAAACTTTCAAAGCTATATTTAAACTTACCAGATTTTTAAAACATAGTATTTTTGTTCCTTTAAAGTTTGGCTTAATATTTCCTACAATTGCCAGTAGGTGAGGGGATGGTGTAAATCCAGCTAGGGTCCATGCAGGTAGCAAAGGTACTGTAAGTCCCCATGGTCCCTAGTATGGTGATCTATCTACCTTCAGTTGTTGGCGATCTATAGCCTGTTTCTATATTGTATCGTCCTCTATAGTTAAAGTACTTTAGATTTCATTACTAGTTTTAAATATATATCTGTGATAGTCCAGTTGGTTTTACTGTCCTTTGTCGACAGATATTTTAAATTGATTACCTTGTTTTCATCGCTATATGGCTGTAATATTGCCGATGCGATGTAAAATTTTAATTCACTCACAACCGAGAGATTAGTGATACAGTACAGTAAATATACTTTCAGTGAGTGAGTGAGTGAGTGACTGTGAGTGAGTTTTTTTAATGCTGCTTTTAGCAGTATTCCAGCAAAGTCAATGCTGGACACCAGAAATTGGCGTCACACACTGTACCCATGTCGGGAATCAAACCTGAATGTTCGATGTGACGAGTGAACACTAGGCTACCCCACTGTCCCATATATACTTTCAAGGTACTTAGTTTGTTCAAAGATCCATTTTAGGTTCGGACAAGTTAGGGTTAGTAGGACACAAGTTTAAGTAATTTTTTTCAGGTACTTTGGTTTCATTTTGCAATAATAGATTGCCCTAGTGCACTAGACCTAATTCAAGGTCTGACTATCCAGGTAGTGTTTAACTCACTCTGTCAGAATGAAAACAGGTTTTGAATTTATTCTTTCAAGGTGATGTTTTTTTTTTGTATATTTACAGCATCTTTGTTAAACATTTGCACCTGCTGTACTGATATATTGCATTGTCAGTCTTTCCCTTTTTCTTCCCTGTGAAGATCTGGGTTAAGATTAATCTTCAGCAACCCATGCTTGTCGTAAGAGGCGACTAACAGGATCAGGTAGTCAGGCTTGCTGACTTTAATAGTAGATACATATGTATCCCAATTGTGTAAAGTGGTGCTCATGCTGTTGATCACCAGGGGCGGATACAGCTTTTTGAGGAAGGGGGGTGCACACTTAATTTTCACCCGAGTTTCAATGGTCATTTAATAAACTTTTAGGGCAAAGGGGTTGGGGGGGTCTGTGTGCCTGGATCAGCCTATGATCACTGGATTGTCTGGTCCAGACTCCATTAATTACAGTCGCTGCTGCCATATAGCTGAAATATTGCTGAGTGTCTTCAAACAAAAAACAAAACAAACCCTTTCTTGTTTCTAGATTTAATGAAATGTTGGGCCATGGTAGACTTGAGTGAGATAATGAGGTAGTAATAAAGACCTTGAAATATCTGTGAACCATGTCTTCATTGAATGTAAACAATGAGAACTGACATCATTCATGTAACCAAGGGGCGATGGGGAAGCCTAGTGGTTAAAGCGTTTGCTTGTCACGCCGAAGACCTATATTCAGTTCCCCACATGGGTACAATGTGTGAAGCCCATTTCTGGTGTCCCCTGCCGTGATATTGCTTGAATATTGCTAAAAGCGGCGTAAAACAATGCTCACTCACTTATGTAACCAAGTTGTCTTTGAAACAAACATGTTCACAATGAATCAAGCCGTGAACCCAACACAGAATTGATTGTTTGACCAGTTTACATCCTTATAAGTTGATGAACAAATACATCGTGAAGGTTTCTCCTGAAAGCTGCAAATACATTACACAGTTTCATGGCTGGTTCACAGAAACTTTGTATTTGTCCAATCTGTGTGTATTTGTCCAATCTTGAGCCATTACCCGTTTTAGCTCACCTTACTGAAAGTTGCCTGTTTGTCTGTTGTGACTCATCCATCTGAGAAACTTCCAAACCTGTGAAGCTGATGCTTGTTTCTACCAGTTATGACATTTGACTGTCACTGTAGCCATCTTGAAGAAAGACATTTTTGGTCAAAATTCATTTATGTTTGTTCAAAATATAACACAATTTGGGAGATGTGTAGTTGATATTGGATTTGAATGCATATGTGCTAGTTTTCGTAATGATTAATATGTTGACCTTTACTTGACCTTCACCTTTGACTATGTGTCATATTCTGCCAAATTTAATTTTGGTTCATTAAACTTCTCCTACTTTAAAATTGCAATACTGACAGAGCTCAGAACTTTGGCTTGTTTTCCCTGACATCATTTTTGTTCACGTGACTAGATTGTATAGAGTTAGACTTTGATCCTCAGTGTTTATATCTGATCGCTGAGTCATTCAGTCTACCTGCACTGTGATTGTCCCTCACAGTAGTGTGTCAAGTTCGCCCCTTGCTTCGTGCAAGTTTACGTTATTGAATTTTTTGTACAAGTAACGTTATTTCACTCCATTGACAGTGGCCATTACCTGTACTTCTGCTTATTGACACTATAAATCTGTGTCTGAACAAAGAAGTGAAAGCCCTTAGTTTTCTTTTGGGAGAATTTGGTTTTCATCTATCAAATATTCTTGGATTAATAATGTTTAATTTTTATTGAACAAAATTTGGAGCATATAATAAACAGAATATTTCATGTGCTTAGTGAAATATGATGTATCTGTTGTCCTGTGACGTGTCATATTTCATTAGACACAAGAAATATTCTCCATCACATTATAACTCTTATTATTCTGAAGTTACTCCCCACCACGATATTACTGGAATGTTGCTAAAAGCGGCGTAAAACCACAATCACTCACTCTGAAGTTACTAAAACACCTCCTTAAATTTCACCATTATTTTACTTCAGCAGAAAGAAACCAAAAACACATATATTGGTCTCTCAAAACCTGTCACTAGTCTGCAGTAAATGTCAGTTTCAATTTCAAACTTGCATGGGGCAGTGTGGTAGCTTAGTTGTTAAAGTGTTCGTTCGTCATGCTGAAGACCCAGGTTCAAATCCCCACATGGGTACAATCTGTGAAGCCCATTAATGGTATCCCCCGCCATGATATTGCTGGAATATTGCTAAATACGGCGTAAAACTCAACTCATTCACTGTGCAGAGGTGACTTTCACTGTTAGAACAAAAAGAAAGATGTTTTTTATCTTTAATGTTCAGTTTATGGCTTTGAATGCAATGTTAAATAATTCTGACAAAAAGGAAGTTGAAAGTATCTGCACTTGTACCCAAATGGCCTGTGAAGAGCACTTAGTTTTGAGTTCTGTCAAATATCAAATGATCAAGTTTCTAATTACATCTATATCCATGCATACTGTCCTGTCTGATGTAAAAGTCTGACTCTCTTAAACAACATTGTGTAAATGTAAGATAATTATCATGATTTTTATCAGGATAATGACTATGAATGTTTGTTCATATTTCACCCAGATTTTAAGTTATGCCAAATATATGCAGTATGTATATATTGTGTATATTTATTGAGGATATTTGATATGTAACTCGATAAATGTTTCATATTGAGGGGGTGGTTGGGTAGCCTTGTGGTTAAAGCATTCGTTCATCACGCCAAAGACTTGGGTTTGATTCCCCACATGGGTACAACGTGTGAAGCCTACTTTTGGTGTCCCCTGTCGTGATATTGCTGGAATGTTGCTTTAAGTGGCATAAAACAAACTCACTCACTCACTCACTCACATTCATTTCATATTGAACACATACCCATACCGAAGGTTATATAGAATGATTTATATTTCAGTATAAATTTAATGTATCTTCTTAATACAATGTATGTTGCACAATATTTTGTAAATGAAATATGAAATGATAACGTATCTCAACCTGATTGTTTGCATACAACTGGATTTAATGTGATGAAATTTTTTCTAGAGTTTCAACTTTTACAATAAATCCAAGCATATCAGTTGATGGAAATGGAATCATGAATAGGAAATACATATATCAACATGGGAAGAGAATATATTGTAGTCCTGTAACTAGATAGGTCTGTCAGAAAGCAGAAATCTTTCTCATTAATAATGTAATTGTCTTTGTTTGTTCAACATTATCTTTTTCTCCTGGGTATTTGATGTCTATGAGGGGCGGTGGTGCATTCCAGTGGTTAAGTGTTCGCTCATCACACCGAAGTCCTGTGTTTGATTCCCCACATGGTCAAAATGTGTGAAGCCCATTTCTCGTGTCCTCCACTGTGATATTGCTGGAATATTGCTAAAAGCGGCATATAACTAACTCACTCACTCTCTCACTCACTGTGGTGTCCTCCGCTGTGATATTGCTGGAATATTGCTAAAAGCAGCGTATAACTAACTAACTCACTCACTCACTCACTGTGGTGTCCTCTGCTGTGATATTGCTGGAATATTACTAAAAGCGGCGTATAACTAACTCACTCACTCTCTCACTCACTGTGGTGTCCTCTGCTGTGATATTGCTGGAATATTGCTAAAAGCAGCGTATAACTAACTCACTCACTCACTCACTGTGGTGTCCTCCGCTGTGATATTGCTGGAATATTGCTAAAAGCGGCGTATAACTAACTCACTCACTCTCTCACTCACTGTGGTGTCCTCTGCTGTGATATTGCTGGAATATTGCTAAAAGCAGCGATAACTAACTAACTCACTCACTCACTCACTGTGGTGTCCTCCGCTGTGATATTGCTGGAATATTACTAAAAGCGGCGTATAACTAACTCACTCACTCTCTCACTCACTGTGGTGTCCTCTGCTGTGATATTGCTGGAATATTGCTAAAAGCAGCGTATAACTAACTCACTCACTCACTGTGGTGTCCTCCGCTGTGATATTGCTGGAATATTGCTAAAAGCGGCGTATAACTTACTCACTCTCTCTCACTCACTGTGGTGTCCTCTGCTGTGATATTGCTGGAATATTGCTAAAAGCAGCGTATAACTAACTCACTCACTCTCTCACTCACTGTGGTGTCCTCCGCTGTGATATTGCTGGAATATTACTAAAAGCGGCGTATAACTAACTCACTCACTCTCTCACTCACTGTGGTGTCCTCTGCTGTGATATTGCTGGAATATTGCTAAAAGCAGCGTATAACTAACTCACTCACTCACTCACTGTGGTGTCCTCCGCTGTGATATTGCTGGAATATTGCTAAAAGCGGCGTATAACTAACTCACTCACTCTCTCACTCACTGTGGTGTCCTCTGCTGTGATATTGCTGGAATATTACTAAAAGCGGCGTATAACTAACTCACTCACTCACTCACTGTGGTGTCCTCTGCTGTGATATTGCTGGAATATTGCTAAAAGCGGCGTATAACTAACTCACTATTGACATCTATGGCCTTGTCACTGAAGGCGTTTCTCACTCACTTGGTCCAATGTGTTTCTGATTTTTTTATGAAATTGTTCAAAATTGAATTTCACATTTATGTTTTTCTGTTTTCATTTTTTTTAAATGTGCCAAATATCAATAATTTTGTTATGCCAAAAACCAAATGTATGATGACTCTTCAAAAGTATTATGTTTAGATAGTAATATGTTATACTTAATTAGGAATAAATATGCCAATATCAGTTATATATAAATACAAAATACCAAATACATGTATATGAATGAAGCTTCCCAAATGTGCTTCCATTAGCTTGGCTATTGTGTTTGCAGCCAGCAGACATGGGTTCAATTACTTTGAAATGTAATTAATTAAATTACAATTACTTTGATTTTCCTCAATTACAATTACAAATACAATTACACCTTAAATTAAAATGTAATTAATTAAATTACAATTACATTACCAATGTAATTAATTACAATTACAAATTACTTTGTTAAAAACACAAAACAAAAACAAAACAAATATATTTCTGTATTCCTTTAATCAACAAGATGTTGGTAAACAGTGGTCACTAAATCCAGTTCATATTTTTGTCATCAAAAAGTGAAATGCAAAGTTAGATTATATCTACAATGTACACTATTTGATCAAATTTGTATTTTGCATATTTCTATGGGCTTATTATCAAATACACACCTCTATCATCTCTTGTTGCAAAAAACACTTTGTCCACCACTGTTACCTTAGGTGTACTGTATCATGACATCATTACAGGCCTACATTACAATGTATAATCAGCTGGTCTCTCTAACTGACATAATCCAGATTAACATACTAGAGGATTTGTCAGCTTGGATTTATGGCTTATTACCTTTCATGATTATAAAAATAAGACTACAGTTCAGTAAGATTTTGAATATCATATCCTATGAGAAATAAACAAAGAGGCCATTTTGATAGGAACTTGACTAATAGTACTGTTAATCCCCCATTTCCTCAAATACCAACCTACATTCAGTCATGCGTTACTGATTCCCTTTGTTTCACAAATGTGCAGATAGTGATAGTTACAAAGGCTTAGATATTCAAATCTCTTTCAAAACTTAACACCTGCTAGAGTATATACCGACAACAAGCATCTTATTGAAAAACACTCCTTTGTCCTCCTTATTGAAATACATATAATTGCAAGGGTTGCCTGATGACCACCAAAATAAAAAAGTGAGATGTAATTTGATGTAATTGAAAAATTAATTACAATTAATTACATTGAGATTTTAATTAATTAAATTACAATTACAAATTACATTTTAAACATTCAATTACAAATTACATGCAATTACATAGATTTTTGTAATTAATTACATTCAATTACAATTACAAATTACAATTACCCCATGTCTGGCAGCCAGTAGGTTGAATAAAGCCATGAAATGAATTTGGAAAATACACTGTTTCCATGGTAACAAAACTGTATTATCACCTTCCGTTCCTATCAGTATGAGCAAAACCATTTTAGATATATAAACTGAGAGTGTGAATGGCATGACAAGTGTCAGAGTAGGTTTGTAAAATGGTGGCAGCTGCCAGCATTATGTAGTATTTATGGCCTATTTGCTGGGTTTTTTAAACTTTAAAATGCAGGCTAGTCCACTCACTCACTCACACACGGTTGATGTTATCCCATTCCCTGCTGTGTTATCTGTTATTGTTGTTATTCTACAGGCTGTCACGAAATAAATGTGAAAAGATGCGTCGAGATAGACTTCAAGCCTACGTACAACAGCTGGCCTGTAAAGTACCCCTGGTGGCAATGTACGACAAAAAACTTGACAAGTGCAATATTCTGCGTCTCACTGTTGCATATCTTAGAATGCACATAGGTAAGTTGTCTTGTCAGTTTGTCTGTACATCATCTGCTGTTCCTTATCTATGCTAAACATTTTCTTCTTATGAATCAGGGTTAGCATAGGTCTTCAGTAACCCATGCTTGCCATAAGAGGTGACTAACGGGATTGGGTGGTCAGGTTCGCTGACTTGGTTGACACATATCATCGTATTCCAAGTGCATAGATCAATGCTCATGATGTTGATCACTGGATTGTCTGGCCCAGACTCGATTATTTACAGACCCCCGCAATACAGCTGGAATAACAAACGATCATAGATTCAAATTGCTATTACTGGTTTGTATTACAAGGGGGTAAGCGCAGTAGTTGGAACAGTGAATCAAGCATGTGTCGTACGTGATGAGCGTTAACTTAGACCAACCCTACTTGTTCTCGGTGTTTCATTGAATGTGCATACCCCCTTGTAATACAAACCAATAACAGCGATTTGAAACTATGATTGTTTGTTAAACAACTTTTATCTTAAGTTGAATAAAATTCTAAGATTTAAATGTTTAATTGGTACGATAAAATTATGAGGATTCACAATCTTAATTTCACTTTATTCCATTTACTTTTTTGTTTAAAGTGAAATTCATCGGTACGTTTTCACTGCAAACAGACTATAGCTGCCATGTTGTGTCAAATCGAGACACACTCATTCACTCACTCACTCATTGTGAAGATGTTGGTTAGATTTGGCCCTCAGGAACCCATCCTTATCATAAGATTCAACCAACTAATCATGACATACAGGATTGGGTTGTCAAGCTCGTTAACTTGGTTAATTTTGAAATTGTGAAGTAGTCTTTAAATCAATTTAACTGGGTTGTTGTCTTCAGATTAATTTATGATGCACATTGAGTGTTTTGGAAACAATTTTTGAATAATGTAGATGAAGAAAGATCAAAGCGACCTAGTGTTATTTAGGAGTGTGCCATTGTTGGAGTATTTTTTTCATCAAAAGGGCATACATTTATACGGTGGTGAGGACAATTAAGATGAGAAGGCTTTTTATTATTTCACATCAGAATGAAAATTCAGCATAACGAGGAGATTATATACAACTTCTTTATTATCAATATGAGCAATGTTTCGGTGTAGCTGATAACACTGTTATCAAGCAAGTGATGTACAATACTGCAGGCAAGGCTACATATACCTATATAGATGATATTATATGAGTGCCCATGTCATACTATGTTTACGACACGAGTACCTAAGTGTTGGTATTTCCCACGCGAGAGCGAGGGATATACCGATATTTAGGCACGAGTGTTGTAAATAGTATGATATGGGCACTCATATAATATTCTATTTATTACCGAAGTCGTCAAATGGAGGAAAATAAACCCAAATCTTCTTTCAAACAAATGCTGGCTACCCGCCGTCGCCTCATGTAGAATGCAACGTCACAGAAGAAACGTGACACCATAGCCTTGTTCATGATGTCACGTCACCATGACAAAGTGATATTTTGCCCTAGGACATCGTATGAAAAATATGAACCCTGATATATTCGCCCTCGTAGGTAATAAAATAATATAATAACAGAGCTCCAGATGAGGGCCGTATCGGCGTATTTACGGATAAAAAATATGCACGATACGGTAGGAAATGAATTAGAAAACGTAGCAGATATGCACCACAGCAATGGTGTACGGTCTTAGAATCATTTACAGAAGTACTTATCTGAAAAGTATTGTTTTATTGTTTATTGACCTGTTTACACGAGACTAGCAATTTTGTGGTGCACATATGAAATGAAGATCACATACTCCATTAAATTCCATAAATGTACTCTTAAGTTTTTCCAATACTCCTGTATTAAAAAAATAAGGAGTACGTACTCCTGATGTTGAAAAATTATCTGGAGCCCTGTAATAATAATTCATTTATATAGCACCTAGTATCGATCTGACTAGTTGCTCACTGGCCGCTGTAATCAGAATCTGACTATGAAATAGTGAAGTCTCAACAGTAAGTTGATGGATGTTTACACAATTAATAAGGATGAAGTACAAGGTTCAGGAGGGTGTTTACACAAGAAAGCAATTGTTACATAAGCAGAATTAATTATGGAGGGATTAATGGGGGGAAGCCAGTGATTTGATAGGCAGGAGAATAACAGGATTAAGCTTAGTGATTAGTTGTGGCAGGCAGTGGGGATGTAATATCCTTGGTCTCTGTTTGTGCCGATCGGAGTCTCTTGATGTGAATGGCTTCTGATCTTGTAGTGGGGTGATTACTGGATAGTACATTGATGCTGTTCTAAAGGATGTTGTGGTCTGGGTGAGCTTGGGTGTGGTCAGAGATGGTGGCTTTGGAGTCTTGAGGTTTCACCGATGTACGAGTCACCACAGTCACACTTTATGTGGTAAACTGTGCCTGAAGGGTGTTCTTTTGTAGTGGGGGTTGGTCTGCCATAGGCTTGGAGAATGTTCTGTATAGTTTTGCCTCTCTGGAACACAACATCGATATCAGTGTTGGCTTGGTGTTTTAAGAGTTGGCTGCATGATTTGGTGGCTGGCTGAATTGGTATTGTCACTGGTAAAGCGAACAGTTTTACCATAACGTCGACCCCTAGGGTGAGGGTAAAAATCCTTTGATGTGATATGTTGTTTTAGCGTTGTTGTTTCTAGGGATTAAAGTCTGGGTGTCTCCAAAAGTTGAACTCAGGTGCGAAAAGTGTTCACCAATTTAAGTATGAGATTTGTTCACCTACTGGAATATTATTATTTAGTGAGTTCACTCAATGCCACTAATTAATCCAATCATATCACTGACACCAATGCCTTCCTTTTACAATGAGGAACTGTTTAAATGTTATAATTCCATTTACAATTTAATGCTTTACTGTTCATAAATGACTAAATGTTGAATCCGCTTTTTTGTTGTTCCTCTTTTCTGTATAACCCATGTAACTGTAACAACATTTGAATCCCAGTAACCAGTCAGTGGTGCTTGGAGACAGTCGGCTCCTCCCTTGCCATTTTGTTTTGACACACTTTAGAAGATCAACGTTTCAGTAATGAACCAAGCGAACAGGGGTCATAGGTTTCTGGCATGTCTAAGGGAGGCAACTCATGCAACAGGGAATTACTGCATAGAATATAGTTAACACAATTAACCGATGAAGTTTTGTTTTCTTGGGCCCTGGGTTCAATTCCCCATATGGGTACAATATGTGAAGCTCATTTCTGGTGTCCCTCCCCTTGATATTTCTGGAATATTGCTAAAAGCGGCGTAAAACCGTTCTCACTCACTCTTGGACACAAAGTTGACCAAATTAAATGAACATTATGGGAGCCATGGTGGCTCTCTTTGTACACTTTCCTCATTTACCAAGACACACTCTGGTTTGAGCCACAAAGGTGAAGCTAGTTTTTTTTGGGATAGCATAATATTAATTATCTGTATGATATTGTATTCCAGTACTTGGTAACTTGAGCTTGAGAATTCTTCAGATTCAGGTTACAATAGTGTGATATACTGTAACATGAGTCGGCCACCCACACATCTTGAGTCATTATCTCCAGTGTCATGGATTCATACTGAGGCCGTACTTTGGCTGACGAAGTGTTCAGTTATGGTGGAAACTAATGAAGTTATTTGTGTTCTATCGTGTCCTGACATCAAACAATGCTAATGGTTCTGTCATTTCACATGTGGCTGATTCATTCCTCGGTCTTTATGTAGTACTTCCACTTCTCTCTAATTGTGTAGGTGAGATCAGCAAAATCTGATCTCTGTCTTAGTGGAGAGCATTCCATATTATCCCCTCTACCAAACTAATTTGCTCTTCATCAATATTTGCTAGACATTCATTCCTGTTCATGGATTATTTGTCCACACTGGGGTTATGTTCTTTTTCAATTTTTGTTACCAATTTGAATTTCATCATTTGTCTTTTGAAAATTGAAAATACAGGTGAAAGGTTAGCAGATGAAATTTTACAATAAACTTCAGGTGTAACACACACAAAGAGACCACTAATTCCAGTTCTTTATACACATTTGCACCAAAGGGTATAGCAGTTGGCTTGGAGTGCCAAGGTTGATGGTTGTATCCATTAGTCTGTGTAACCGTGTTCGTTATAAAAGTAGTATACTGTACTGTATGTTACAAGAAAGAATGTGTTCAGGTATGAACAGGAAGGAACACTTTATTCCTTACGCAGATCCTGAAGTGGGGACCTTATTGTCATTCTTTTACTGGCCCTTACCCGTTAATATCCGGGTTTATAAGAATTGATCGTCATCAACCCATGCTTGTTGTAAGAGGCAACTAATGTGATCAGGCTCGCTGACTTGGTTGACACATGTCACTGTATGGCGTAGATTGATGCTCATGCTGTTGATCACTGGGTTGTCTGGGGTAGAATTGATTATTTACAGACTGCCGCCATATAGTTAGAATATTTTTATTGCGGCGTTAAACAACAAACAAACAAAACAACACGGAAAATTTTAGGCCCTTTGAATGATACTTCCCCAGCAACTTGTCCTGGTTGTCACTCCTTTGGGACTAATGTCTTTGAAAGGCATTTAAAGGTGATACACATTAAGGGGGAAAGTTATGAATGACAAGCTCTGTATTACGAGGAACACAATGATTTGGAGTTTGGTATATTCTTACTCATATATCCTTTGGGATTGTGGGTTGAGAATGTCATCAGCTGCCCATTCATGGGGATTCAGGACTAGATTGGTCCCCAGCAGTGTGTTCTGGTTATGACTCTTGGGGATTTCATAGCAGATAGGTCCCTAGCAACTGATTCCCCATTGGGATTCATGGTTATATGGGTCCCTAGCAACTGATTCCCCATTGGGATTCATGGTTCCATGGGTTTCCAGTCACCTATCCTGGTCATTGGGATTCAGGGTTATATTGGTCCCCATCAATCTATTCTGGTCATTGGGATTCTGGGTTGGACTGGTCCCGAGTGGGTTAGATTGGTCCCCATCAATCTATTCTGGTCATTGGGATTCTGG